ATATGACAGCATTGAGGATGAGAAAGACATAGAGAGGTACATGGGAGGTACAGACAAATATGAACCCTTTTGCACATACAGTACTGCATTGTCAATGAAGGCAAACATGGATATATGGATGGATAGATGGGTGGACAGTCTGTACTATTAGGTATGTCTATGAAATGGGGAGTGTATCCAAGGACATATATAGGGTTGGCAGACAATGGTCTATAAGTTTATGTGAATGATCAGAATTCCCAGCTGTATAGTAGAGCTGACAAGGGGCAAGGTTGTGGTCACTGCTTGGTCACAGCCAGCTACCCAGAGAGACCAAGTAGTTGAACCTGTGGGCTTAAGACCATAGTCGCAGGGGTCATCAAGCTCAATTGGCATAACATACTACACAAAACATTGTTCCACCTCCTACCTTGGCAAGCAACGACTGGGATCTTAAAAGCTAGCAAGCTGCCATCTAGATGCAACAATGGGTCTCTCGTCATCCAGAACAAAGAAGAATGAAGTAAACCAAAATTCACGGAAACAATTAGTCCTAGCAACTGGTACACCATCTGATCTGCAGCCTATATGACTATGAGACCAGAAAAACTAGATGGTGCCCGGCTACCACTGTCATCCACTTGAAAGGGGATCTATGTAGGAGATCCTTGATAGAGAGGGAGAACAATGTGGAACAAAACTCAAAATCATTGGAGGAAAAAAAGGGGGGAACCAGGTTTGCTGGTCTGATAGAGCTGGGTGGAACCACTGAGACTATGGCCCCTAGCTGCCCTTCGGGTCTGGAATCGAACCCACACCTGTGGTTTCCAGCCAAATAAAAGACAGGCATATGAGTTGAACATTTACCTCAAGTAGATACCCTCCTTGGAAAGAACAATCATGGGAGAAAGAAGGACTGCTTATGCACAGGAGACAGCTCAGGGGACAGGAGCCCATGGAGGGCTGGACACAGGGAAGAGTTAACTGTGGGGAGGTGGGAGGGGAGCTGTTGAATTGTTGTAAACTGTGGTCAATGTCATGAGACAAAGTGTATGTGAACTACTGTATGGAAAGTGAATTTGCTCTGTAAATCTTCACCCAAATCACAATTTAAAAAAAAAAAAAAAGAAAGAAAAGAAATTATAATTCACCAACACATTTTCAACATTATTCATTTTTAGAAATTGAATAAAGAAGAAAAATGAGGTATTAGGAAGTAGGAATGAAAAAGCTTTAGGTCTGAGTAAGAAATGACTAAAAACTTATATTCATAACAAGCAAGAAATAAAGTTGCAAATGATACCAATTGAATTAGTTAGGATGGGGGTTTTTCTATGAGTAACTGAGACTCAACACAACAATAGCTTGATTAAAAGATAAATTTATTTCTCTTTTGCATAAAAATGTGCAATGACAGTCCTACAGATTCCAGAGAGTCAAGTTCTTTCTAAATTGCTATTCCATACCCTCAGTATGTTCCTCATATCCCAAGATAGCTGCTCAACTGCCAGCTGACATATGCAACATTCCAGCCAGAGAGAAGAAAGGGATGAAGAATGGCTTGTCCTCCCTTTAAGGACATTACTCAAAATTCATACCCACTCTTTCTCTTTATATCCCATTGGCCAGAAATTAGTGCCACACCTAAGGAAGGCTTATAAATTAGTCTTTATTCTGAGCAGCTATATGCCCAAAACAGAGGGATGGAAAGATATCAGGAAAGACAGTTATCAATCTCTACCTCAGTCCACTTCCTTATTCACCTAATATTTGCATGCACCTTCTTTCCATATACAAAGCATCCTAAACCACCACTCTCCACCTGAAGAGGAGGCAACCCTCCTCGATGTTTCATGAACAGTGAGGAAAATCTGGAACATCATGAGAAATAGCTATTCTGGGATGATAGGGTGATGAGGGAAATGAGCCAGTACAGACACAGTGCTCATCCTGTGTTCCTGGTAGAGCTGGGCCAAAGGCTCTATGTACTTGGAGGGGGAGGAGTAGCAACAGATAGGAAATGGGCAGTTTGGGATGCAATGCCTCTACCCCTCTCTTGCTTTCAGTCTATTTTATTCCCTCCATCCCAGCTGCAACAGACAGCAAACTCAACTACAACACTCCAGCGGTAGAGGTGCTAATGGCAGTCACAGGAGCATAAGCAGCAGGATTCATCTGGTTAAAACCATCCAGCTCACATCACAGTATGGAGGGGCCTCTTCCCTCCCTCTCTCTCTCTCTCTCTCTCTCTCTCTCTGGGGTTTAAAAAGAATGATGAACATCTTCCTAAGCCATGAGATAATTTCTCTTCACTGTCCCCATGCCCCAGGCCAGTAGAGATGCAGAATACACAGGCAACTGTTCAAGATTTTATTCAGTTGACATCTTAAATCTCCACATTCCATATACCTCAACACAACTTGAGATGTCACTGGGTATGGCCACTAGGGAATTGAGAAAGGGGGTTCCAATATTGGGTTGTCTCAGGAGGATTTATGTGGCAGAGAATTTGGAAATCCCAGACCTGGTGCCACGGGAAGGATATGGGAAACTTCCTTCACTCTCTCTTTGAACAATCCCAAACTGAATAGTTTAACCAAGTCTCAGGGGAGAGCCCTGAAATCAGAACCAAGGTCTAATGCTGGTTTCACCTCTGATGATGTCAGATCAAACCTCTCTTCTCTGGTCGATGTTCTCCAGAAGGTCAAAGAACCACCATGTTCCATCTGGCAGGTCACCTCTCTCCTTTCTGGCAGGCAGAGCACTGGTGAAGGGTTCAGGTGCACAGCCAAGGTTTGGGCATGTGACTGGTACACCAGGCCAGGGTACTTTCCAGGATGCAGCCTCACTGCCACGTTCAACTGTGTGGATCTCCATAGAGTCAATGGAACCCAACTGGAATTTGAGGATAGGGCATTGAGAAGGAAAGGGAGGTCAGAGGAGAGGGAAATTGAAAGACTCAGAAACTGGAGGGACAGGGTCAGGTGTGGTCACAGGGTCAACAGGATGCCAAGGGGCAGCACCAGAAACAGGAGTTGGATGTGGGACTCCACTGGATACAAAGAGGTAGATTGGCTCAACACTGCAACCAGCCAGTTCCTGTAGGTACTAACTTCCGTATAAATCCCAGGTACTCCATAACGACCACAGCCAATGCCCCAGCTCACGATCCCCACCTGTATCCAGATGTCATCAAATTCACAGACCATGGGTCCCCCAGAATCTCCCTGGAGAAAGAGAAAGAAACAAACCACAGGAATGGAAGAGGACCCACATCAGGGCAGGCACGCCCACCACCTTGCTTTCCCAACAGCCAGCAGTACACATTCTCCCACCACTGGTCTGGAGAGTGGCAGTGCACATGCTCCTGCCCACTAGGTGATTCAAGACACACTACTGCACCACCAACTGGTGACTGGAGGCATGCACACATCTCACGCACCTTCTCCCCCAGCTGTGCAGCTGTGCAAGCTCCCATGCCACCTTATAGAGACTAGAGATCCGTACTCCCTTACCCTGACCACCTGGCAACTGGCAAAGTGCCCATCACCTGGCAAATGGCAAGAGTGCACCCTGTAACATGCCAGGCATATCACCGCAGAAGTAACACCCAACACATCCCCATAGGTACCACCTGCATTTCTGCCTACCAATAACCAGGAGTTCCTAGCACCATCATCCAACATCCTCCTGGTTGTGACTGGTGCATTTGAACTGCAAACCTTCTGGTTAGCAGTCAAATGCCTTAGGCACTGCACCTCCAGCACTCCATAGACCAGAGTGGTTCTTAAATATTGTGACTACACCTGTGTATAGTGGCCCTAAGTCCCTACACCTAACCTGAAGTCTCTCTATAGCTCCTTACCCATATAGCCAGCTCCCTTCACATTTTAGGACCCACCCCCAGACATCCCCTACACACCCCAACTCAAGCAGAACTCCTCATGTCCTTTCCCAAACCTATTCCTGTGTGCCCTGCCATTAGCTACCTCAGGCAGAAACACAAGGACCTCCTCAATATCTCCCTCACCTCCATCCCAACATGCAGTCAGTCACTAATAACCATTAATTCAAACTGATGTTGTTGTTGTTACATGCCTTCGAGTCATACCCAACTCATAGTAACCCCTCCTTGGGTTTCTGAGGTGATATCACTACGGAAGTAGATTGCCCAACCTTCCTTCTGAGGAGTGGCTGGTGGGTTTGAACTGCGAGCCTTCTGGTTAACAGTCAAGTGCCTTCGCACTATGCTGCCAGAGCTCCTAATTCAAACTGAAGCATACTTCTTTCACCACCTCACTGAACGAGGCCCTGCTCGGAGCTCAATTACCTTTTGCAAAGATAATGAAAATAAGCCCTGAGCCTGCAGTCCAGTCACCACACAGCTCAGGGAGTCACATATCTTAAAGGTGAATCTGACAATGTACCCCTAGTCTTGCCTGTACAGAGTCTAGAACCTTGGCATACCATTCCAGACCATACATATTCTGACTCCAGTCTACTTCTCTGGTCATATTTGCTACCTCATTGCTCCAGATGGATGAAACATTCCCTACATGTGACAAATTCACACAGACCTCTGAACCACTGCACAGGCTGTTCCCTCTCCCTACAATGCTGATCTCTCCTTTCCAGGAAACACAAATAGTCATCCTCTAGGTTCCAGCTAGGAGCTGTGGTGGCATAGGGCCTAAGGCATTTGACTGCTAACCAGAAGGCTGGTGGTTCAAACCCACCAGCCACTGCTTGGAAAGAGACTGGGCAATCTACTTCCGTAGTGATACCACATTGGAAACCCAAGGAGGTCACTATGAGTCAGATCCAACTCGACGGCAGTGTTTTTTTTTTTTTTTTTTTTTTTCCCCAGGACCCAGCTCAAATGCCTCCTCCTCAAGAAGGTGGGTTGGTGCAGAGGGAAAAACCTAGGCCTGGGAGCTAAATAAGTGCTTAAGGGGATGTGGTCTTTGGACTTTACTTTCCACATCTATATAATAAGTATGATGTTTGTCTTGCAGAGTTGTGATGTAGGCTGAGATAATATGGGTAAATTCTCACACTGGCATGGTATGGGCCACCAAAGAGGAGCTCAATTAATGAAACTTATATTATTAGTATTATGCACCCTCACTTTCCCATGCCCTGACAGGGCCCTCAGGCAGTGAGGGCTGCTCTCTTTTGAAGGCCAGTTCAGGGAAGCTATGGTGGATTTCCCCCAGGAATCTCATTAACTCAACGGGGGGGGGGGGGGGGTGAACAGAGAGCTGGCACAGAACACAGGCCATGCTGCCTGAGAATAAGGAAATTTTGAGCCAATGATCAAAATGTAGAGGAGTCAAGGGGCCCAAGAACTGACCTGACAAGAATCTTTTCCACCAGTTTTATAGCCACAGACCATCCCTCTCTTTACAATATCCACAAGACTTGACATGCTCTGCTTTATTATGTTATTACAGTTTTCATAGCGGATGATGTACTGGTCAACCTTCCGGAGAATTTCTGCATAAGGACGCTGATCTACAAGCAAAGAAAATAAGCACTTTGTGAATCTACACAAGAAGATAAGAAGTCCCCAAGTACCCAGAATCCCTCTGGAAGAAAGCAGGGTAGTGTGTATGGTCCCTATTTGACACAAGAGGAAACTGAGGTCCAAAGTTGGCATGGAGAGAGGAGGAGGTAAGAAGCAAAACCAAGACAGGAGAAGGCAGAACAGATCAGAAGAGGGACAGACATAACCAAGCTTTTGTCACTCTGAGTAGCAGTGGCAATAGTGACATGGGGTCCTGTGCATCAGTGAAGTGTCCTTAATTTCCAGAGCAGGATCATACACTCTAGGACACAATGCCCCAAATGCACCAAATCCAGTTTCTCCCAAGGGTAGCAGGACCAACAGCCTTATGGATAAGGGCCCTCTGCCTCTGCCTACACCCCTAGGGACAGGAAGCCCCCCACCCCCAGAAGCAGGTACTTCTAATGAGAGGCCCTTCTGCCTGACAGGCAGTTTGTCATCCCCTGAGCTGAAATCCACCCAGGAGACAACCCCATAACATCTGGCTCTGTCCCAAGGGAACCTAGAAATATCCCCCAAACCAAACAAAAAGCCAAACGAGTTGCCACTGAGTCAATTCAGAGTCATGGTGACCCCATGTGTGCAGAGTAGAGCTGTGCTCTGCAGGGTTTTCAAGGCTGGGACCTTCTGGAAGCAGATCATCAGGCCTTCCTCCCCAGGTGCCTGGGTCAGTTTGACCCACAAACCTTTCAATTAATAGTCAAGCACTCAACCATTTGCACTACCCTGATACTCTCAGTCAGGCACCAAACCCAAAATCAAACCCACTACCATTGAGTCAATTCTGACTAATAATGGCCCTCTAAGGCAGAATAACTCATGGGAATTAGTAATGGGATGTTGTTGTTGTTATGTGCCGTCGAGTCAGCCCTGACTCATAGCGACCCCTCCTTGGGTTTCCGAGGCAGTATCACTACGGAAGTAGGATTGCCCAACCTTCCTTCCGAGGAGTGGCTGGTGGGTTTGAACCGCCAGCCTTCTGGTTTGCAGTCAAGTGTCTTAGCCACTATGCTACCAGAGCTCCTGGGCAATCCTACTTCCGTAGTGATACTGCCTCGGAAACCCAAGGAGGGGTCGCTATGAGTCGGGGCCGACTCGACGGCACATAACAACAACATAACAAGGCAGAATAGAACTGCCCCGTAGAGTTTCCAAAGCTGTAAATCTATATGAAAACAGACTGCTTCATCTTTCTTCTATGGAGCAACTGTTGTTGCTGTTGTTATGTGCTGTCGAGTCAGCCCCAACTCATAGCAACCCCTCCTTGGGTTTCCGAGGCAGTATCACTACAGGTTGGGCAATCCTACTTCCGTAGTGATACTGTCTCGGAAACCCAAGGGGGAGTCGCTATGAGTCGGGGCCGACTTGACGGCACATAACAACAACATCACTACAGAAGTATATTGCCCCATCTTCCTTCCCAGGAGTGGCTGGTGGGTTTGAACTGCCAGTCTTCTGGTTAGCAGTCAAGTGCCTTAGGCACTATGCTACCAGAGTTCCCTATGGAGCAGCTAGTGGGTTTCAATCACAAATATTTTGGTTAGCAAATGAATGCTTTAACCTCTGCACCACCAGAGCTCCTTCTAGTCAGGCAAGTCCCCCACAAATCTATAGAAGGAGACCTCATAATATATTCTTTCTCCTCCTGGATGAGCAGTTTCAGTTCCCCAAACCAACATCTTTCCTAAATGGCTGCCATCAAATATTTGTATATCCATGAATACATATACATAGACCAGGAGGCTGTTGTTCAAACAGAATAAGGGGCTATTGCATGGTTTAAAATAAAGAAGGGAGTGTATCCTTTCAGGGTTGTACACTTTCACCATACTTATTCCATTTGTATGCTGATCAAATCATCTGAGAATCTGAATTATATGAAGAACATGGCATCAAGATTGGAGGAAGACTCATTAACAATCTTTGATACATAGATGACACAACCTTGCTTGCTGAAAGTTACTTGAAGCACTTACTGATGAAGATTAAAGACTACAGTCTGCAGTATGGATTACACCTCAATATAAAGAAAACAAAAATCCTCACAACTGGAACAATAAGCAGCATCATGATAAATGGAGAAAAGATTGAAGTTGTCAAGGACTTCATATTACTTGGTTTTACAATCAGCACCAATAGAAGCAGCAGCAAGATATCAGACAACATATTGCATTGGGCAAATCTGCTGCAAAAGATCTCTTTCAAGTGATGAAGTGCAAAGATGTCTCCTTGTGCCTAACTCAAGCCATGGTATTTTTCAATTGCCTTTTATACATGTGAGAGCTGGACAATGAATAAGGAAGACCAAAGAAGAGTTGATGCTTTTGAGTTGTGGTGTTGGCAAAGAATGCTGAGAGTGCCATGGACTGCTAAAAGAACTAACAAATCTGTCCTGGAAGAAGTGCAGCCAGAATGCTCCTTGGAAGCAAGAATGGTCAAACTTCATCTCACCTACTTTGGTCATGTTGTCAGAAGGAACTATTCCCCGGAGAAGGATATCATACTTGGTAAAGTAGAGGGTCAACGATAAAAGGGAAGGCCCTCAATAAGATGGACTGACACTGGCTGCAACAATGGGCTCAGGTATAGCAAGGATCGTGAGGCTGGCACAGGACTGGGCGGTGTTTCGTTCTGTTGTACATAAGGTCTCTATGAGTGAGAGACGACTTGACAGCCCCTAACAGCAACAACAACATGAACATAGTAAGGAGGATAGTGCAGGACCAGGCAATGTTTCATTCTGTTGTACATAGGCTCACTATGAGTCAGAATTCACTCGACGACACCTAATACCACATGAATATAGTAGAGCACACAGTGACAAAGTTAGGAAAATTTCTTAGTCATAACCAAGCACCTTGAGGGAATGTGGCAGTGGGCATGGGGGCTTAGGACCGTAGTGTAGGGGGACAATAAGGTCAATTGGCACAACATGGTCCACAAAGACAAATGTTTTACATCCTACATTGATTAGTAGCAACTGGGGTCTTAAAAGCTTGTGAGCGTAAAAGCTAGACCAACCTTACAAGAGAGTCTAAAGGGAGTCCTTTGGGCAGAGAATCAACAACAGCAGACAACAAACTGAGATTAACACACATGATTACATCACCCGGAAACCAAGCCAGATATAAAAATGGCCAAAGTAAAATAAACCTACAAGACTGAAAACAGGGAACCAGAGACATCAATTTATAAAACAAAGACAACTATAGAGCAAAAAGAGGGATTAAATAGTGTACTACAGAACTTCCAAATGACAAGGAAGTCAAAATGATTTCAAGATAGAACAGACTGTTTTAAACTTAGAAAGAAAATAATGAGTTACAGGGTAACCTCAAAGAAGATTAATAAACCTTCTCATCAAAATAAAAAAGAGAAAAGTCGTAAATATTTAGCAAATACTAAAACAACAGCAACAAAGGGAATGATAAAAAAAAAAATTAGCTCAACATAGGAAATTATATGGAACAAAGAAAGCAGCAGCACCACAAAAAACATACAACAAAATGACAGCAATAAATGCATACTTATTGATAATTACACTGAAATAAATGGATTAAATGCACCAGCCAAGAGACAGAGAGTTGAAGAATGGATAAGAAAAACATGACCCAATAAAAGGCTGTCTACAAAAGACAAAAATTGACTAAAACTCAAAGGTTGGAAAAAATATATCAAGCAAATGGCAACTGACATAGAAAAGGCATTTGACAAAATCCAATATCCATATCTGATAAAAAACAAAGAACAAAATAGGACTAGAAGGGAAATTCCTCAACATAATCAAGGGCATGTATACAAAACAAGACTATAGTCTGCAGTATGGATTACACCTCAGCATAAAGAAAACAAAAATCCTCACAAATGGACCAATAAGCAACATCAGGATAAATGGAGAACAGATTGAATTTGTCAAAGATTTCATTTTACTTGGATCCACAATCAATACTCATGGAAGCAGCAATCAAGAAATCAGATGACATAGTACACTGGCCAAATCTGCTACAAAAGACCTCTTTAAAGTGTTAAGGAGCAAAGATACCACTTTGAAGACTAAGGTGTGCCTGAATTACCAAAACCAAAAACCAAACTTGTGCTGTCGAGTCAGTTCCAACTCATAGTGACCCCTCCTTGGGTTTCTGAGGCAGTATCACTACAGAAGTAGATTGCCCAGCCTTCCTTCCGAGGAGTGGCTGGTGGGTTTGAACCGCCAGCCTTCTGGTTAGCAGTCAAATGCCTTAGGCACTGCTCCACCAGAGCTCCCGTCTGAACTACGACATGGTCTTTTCAATCACCTCATATGCATGTGAAAGACGGACAATGAATAAGGAGGACTGAAGAAGAGTTGATGCCTATGAATTATGGTGTTGGTGAAGAAGCCTGAAAATACCATGGACTGACAGAAGAATGAACAAATCTGTTCTGGAAGAAGTGCAGACAGAATGCTCCTTAGAAGTGAAAATAGCCAGGCTTTGTCACATCTACTTTGATCATGTGAGAAGGCACCATACTGTGGAGAAGGATAGCATGCTTGGTAAAGCAGAGGGTCAACAAAAAAGGGGAAGACTCTCAACAAGATGGATTGACACAGTGGCTACAACAATGGTTCAAGCATAGCAAGGATTATAAGGATGGTACAGGACCAAGTAGTGTTTTGTTCTATTGTACATAGGGTTGTTATGAGTCAGAGCCAACTTGATGGCACATAACAACAACATACAAAACAAACAGCCAGTATTATTCTCAATGGAGAGAAACTGAAACCTTATGACTGAGTACCAAACAAGGATGCCCCCCTTATCATCACTCCTATTCAATATCATATTGGAAGTCCTAGCAAGAGCAATAAGGCAAGAAAGGGAAATAAAAGATATCCAAATTGGCAAGTAATAAGAACAGACTGAATTTTTCAAAGATTTCATTTTACTTGGATCCACAATCAACACTTGGAGATGATATGAATCTATAGATAGGAAATCCCAAAGACTCAGCAAGAAAATCACTGGAGCTAATTCAAAGTTTCAGCAAAATGGGAGGGTACAAGATCAACATACAAAAATCAGTCAGATTTATTTACATTAACAAAAAAAATTCTGAAAAGGAAACAAAAAAAAAACTGTCATTTACAATAATCACTTGTCTTGGTTCTCTATTGTTGTTGCTGTTGTTGCTATGTGCTGTTGAGTCGGACCCAACTCATAGCAACCTGTCCTTGGGTTTCCGAGGCAGTATCACTAAGGAAGTAGATTGCCCCATCTTCCTTCCGAGGAGTGGCTAGTGGGTTTGAACCTCCAGCCTTCTGGTTAGTAGTCAAGTGCCTTAGCCACTATGCTACCAGAGCTCCCAAGTGCTGCTATAACAGACATACCACAAGCGGACAGCTTTAACAAGCAGGGATTTATTCTCTTACAGTTGAAGAGGCTAAAAGTCCAAACTCAGAGTGCCAGCTCTAAGGTCTAGGTGAAGTCTCCTCAACCTTGGGCTTCAGCTCTGCCTGTTATTCCAGGCCCACTGGAGGTGGAGACTTTTTTGCAACGCACGCAGCTGCTGGCTGCTGGCTGCTGAGGCTGATGGACCCAAGGTCAGCAAGTAGAATGGCACAACCCCAATATCGACATGCAACATGGCAGACAACTGGTTCAAGTTCAGGGACAAACCCAAAATCGGCAGACTATTGAGATGAAGACTCAGCCAAATGTAGGATCCAGATGTACCAAAAAGCTAGAGACTTTTTTCAAAGCTTCTTTTTATATACTGGAAGCAGGTCATACCCCAAAGTCAGCTAATTAGCTGCTCACAGCAGATTCTACCATGGAGTGGATGACAATCTCATCATGGGGAATAACTATATCCAGCTGCCCAGCCATTCAAAACCACGACCCAGCAAAGTTGACACACAACCTTAACTACCATACCACCCAAAAGATAAAATACTTAGGAATAAATCTTACCAGAGAGACAAAAAGACCTATATAAAGAAAACTGCAAAACACTGCTACAAGAAACCAAAAGAGACCTATATAAATGGAAGAATATATCGTGCTCATAGAAAGGAAGACTTAACATCATGAAAATGTCAGAACTACCCAAAGCAATCTACAGATATAATGCAATCCTGACCCATATTCCATTGTCATTCTTTAAAAAGAAAAACTAATCATCAACTTTATATGGAAAGGAAAGAGACCCCAGACAAGTAAAGCACTATTAAAGAAGAACAAAGTAGGAGACCACACATTCTTTGATCTTAAAACCTACAGCCACTGCAGTTAAAACACACTGGTACTCTCCTAAAATTAGACACTTATGTGCATCAAAAGATTTCTCTAAAAGAAATGCTCATGATCATTAGCCTTTAGAGAGATGCAAATCAAAACAACAATGAGATATCATCTCACTCCAGCACTAATACCAAAGCCAAAATAAATAAAAAATAACAAATGCTAGTCAGGGTGTGAAAAGACTGGAACCCTATACACTGCTGGTGAGACTAAAATGATCTACCACTGTGGAAAATGATATGGTGCCTCCCTAAAAAGCTGGAAATAGAAATATCATATGATCCAGCAGTCCCACTACTAGGTATATATACTAGAGAAATAAAAGCTGTGACATTAACAGATATATGCATATCCATGTTCATCACAGCATTATTCACAATAGCAAAAAGATAGAAACAACCTAAATGCCCATCAACAGAGAATGGATCAACAAACCAAGGTACACACATACAATGAATACTATACAGTGAATGTTAAAGAACAACAATGAATCTGTGAAACATCTTATTGTATGGATGAACATAGAGAACATTATGTTGAATTAAATTAGTCAATCACAAAAGAACAAATATTGTATGAGACCACTATTGTAAAATGTCAAGAAAAGAGTTTCACACAAAAGAAATATTCCTTGATGGTTATCAGGGATGCAAGGGGAAGGGGGGATGAACCACTAACTAGACAGTAAATACGTATTAACTTGGGTGAATAAGAAGGTATTGAAAAAGAAAAAAACAGGAAAAATGAATAAATAAGTATGGAAAAAATAAAACATATATTCACGAACAAAAAAAAAATCCTCAGACAACAAATATGAACCCTTTTGCATATACAGTACTGAGTTGTAAATGAAGGCAAACATGGGTATATGGACGGATAGATAGGTGGACAAGCTAAACGATTAGGTATGTCTATGAAATGGGAAGTGTATCCAATATCATGTACAGGGTTGGCAGACAATGATCCTATAAGTTTATATGAATGATCAGAATTCCCAGCTGTATAGTAGAGCTGACAAAAGGCAAGGTTGTGGTCACTGTTTGGTCACAGCCAGCTACCCAGAGGGACCAAGTAGTTGAACCTGTGAGCTTGGGACCATAGTCACAGGGGACATCAAGCTCAATTGGCATAACATACTATACAAAACATTGTTCCACCTCCTACTTTGGCGAGTAGCGACTGGGATCTTAAAAGCTAGCAAGTTGCCATCTAGATGCAACGATGGGTCTCTCCTCGTCAAAAAGAAAGAAGAAAACCAAAGTTAATGGAAACAATCAGTCCTAGTGACTGGTACACCTTCCAATCTGCAACCTGTACAACTATGAGACCAGAAGAACTAGATGGTGCCCGGCTACCACTGTCATCCACTTGGAAGGGATGTAGGAGATCCTGGATAGAGAGGGAGAACAATGTGGAACAAAATTCAAAATCATTTGGAGAAAAAAAAAAAAAAAGAAAGTGAGGACCAGGTTTGCTGGTCCAATAGAGCAGGAACCACTGAGACTATGGCCCCTAGCTGCCCTTCAGGTCTGGAATTGAACCCACACCTGTGGTTTCCAGCCAAACAATGTACAGGCATGTGAGTTAAATATTTACCTCAAGTAGACACACACCCTGGAGAGAACAATCATGGGAGAAGGAAGGGTTCCTTATGCACAGGGAGACAGCTCAGGGCGCAAGAGAGTATGGAGGGATGGTCACTGGGAAGAGGTAACTATGGGGAGGAAGTGGGAGGGGAGCTGTTGCATTGTGGTAAACTGTGGTCAAGGACATGAGACAAACTATATGTGAACTGCTATATGGAAAGTGAATTTGCTCTGTAAATCTTCACCCAAATAAAATAAATAAATAAATTAGTAAAATCCTTTGGTCATCTTTGGAGAATGCTCATTTTTCTGAAAACTGGTTTAAAAAGGGAAAAGAATAAATATCTTGCATTTCCTGGGAGGGGGAGGAACTATACCTCAAAGTAACCAATAGATGACAAGGGAGAGTTCTTCTACATATATTTAAAACAGTACCAGCTAATAGATGAAGAAGGAATAAATGATATCCCAATCCCTAATTGGGAAAAAAAAAAAAAAAAAAGCTTGTGAGTAGCCATCTAAGGTGCAACTATTGGTCTCTCCCATCCAGAGCAAAGAAGAGTGAAGAAAATCAAAGACGAAAGGAAATAATGTGTCTAAAAGACTAATGGACCACTTGAACTCCAGCTTCAATGACCCTGAGGCCAGAAGAACTAGGTGGTGCCCAGCTACTACAGCTGACCAATCTGAAAAGGATCACAACAGGAGGCCCCAGATAGAGTGGGAGAAAAATGTAAAATGAAACTCAAAATTATAAAAAAGACAAGGCTTATTGGTCTGACAGAGACTGGTGAAACCCCCAAGACTATAGCCCTTAGACACCCTTCAATCCTAGAACCGAACTCATCCCTATGGCTCAACTTTCATCCAAATGATAGAGGTCTATAAGGTAAACAATAATGCCAGGGAGGTACACACTCATTAGAACAAGTAACTGCACAAGATCAAAAGGGCAGCATTTGCCCAGGGATAAAGATCAGAAGTCAGGAAGTGATAGCAAAGAAGGATGAAGGGAAATGGTGAACACAGGGAGGAAGTGGGAAGAGTGCTGTTACATTGTAGGGACTGCAATCAATGTCACAAAACAAAATGTGTATGAATTGTTGAATGGAAAACCAATTTGCCCTGCAAATGTCCACCCAAATCACAATAAATAAACAAAAACACTCAGGGGGAAAAAAAAGACAAGGTCTCAACACAATTTCGGGGGTCACCCAAACCAGTGAGGGAACCATTGCCCTGACTGCTACTTAACCATGACTGCTACTAAACTGTCCCCCCTTACCCACCTTCCAGGTAGGCTACCTCCCTTTCCCTTCCTTTAGCCTTCATGCCTGCTCCAGGGCACAAGGGTGCCTCCCCCACCCAAGTTTGCCTCCTGTCAGACAAGTCTCACCTCCTTCTCCCTCTTGGCCCCAACCAGTCACCCAACACTTGGTCCCAGCTGCCACCTGGAAATTCTCCTTTGGGATGCAGACAGGCTTGATGGTAGAGGTGAAATTCACAGAGAAGAGGAGATGGAGAAGGGCAATGTCATTCCGAACATATCCAATTCTTGTGAACTCAGGATGGACAACGATGCTTTGGACAGGGATCACCACACTTTTGTCAGCTTCCTTAAAGATACTCAGACCTCCTATCTTGACACTGTAGGTGTAATAGCTGTGGAAGAGAGGATATACCAGTCCTAGAGACCCTGGGAAACACCCCTGTGCTTTTTCAGTGATTTGCCAATACTTCCCAACCTCTCCCCAACCTCCCTCCCACTCTCCCTCCCACCAAGAACATCATCCTTGATCTCTCCAAATTGGCTTGCTACCCCCTCTTAAATATTACTACTAAAAGACTATCAATGCAGAACCCCTCCCAATTTTATTGTGTGTGCCTTTTGGTTGTTTTGTTTTGTTTTTTGCCGATTTGTCAGGGCAGATGAGCTTCCTGGGTGTTTGAGAACAGAACTGGCTAAAACTATCACATTTCCACCCCTCACCTTAAAATACAGTGGGCTGCAGTCAGCACCCACTGGTCGGTGATGAGCGAGCCTCCGCAGACATGCTTGTTTCGGACCCTCAGGCTCACCTGCCAGGGCCACTCCCCTTCTTTGGATTCCACTCCTCCTACTATTTTTACATCAGGCTGGCCGCACCCTGAGGTGAGAAGTGTGAGAAGAACTCAGAGAAAGAGGCCTGGTCTCCCCTAAGCCCAGGGCTTCCCAGGAAAGCACCCCATGGCCCTAAAACAGTCAAGGATGTGGTCATGTTCCCGTAGACTCTGGACAGATGTTCCAGGCCTTATACCCACAGACTTCCTAAAGCAGAATCATCCACTCAGACCCCAGAAGGCAGGGCCTGGGTCTCCCAGAAGCCCAAGCAGAACTGGGTCCCACTCTGAGACGCTCAAACCTCTCTTTCGGACTTCCCAGTAGAAGAGTCACCTGGAGTAGCGGTCCCATTGGATGCAGGAACCCCGAAGGATCGCAGAACCTCGATAGGCAACTCATTCTGCGGGCTCGCTCTGGCATCTCCAGGATGCTCGTGGCCGCCGCCCGAAGGCAAAGGGGGGCGAGAGTGCGGCGCCGCCCCGCCCCGCGCCCCTTTTGCTCCCGCCCACGCCTCGCTGAGCCCCCGCTGAAGGAGCAGAAGCAGAACCAGGACAACCAGGGGGCCGCCGCCGCCGCTGAGGGGGCCGCAGGAGGACGCCATGGGCACTGCCGGGGACTCAAGCCTTCTCATGGCGCCCCCTCGCGGCCGCTCCCGCCCCTGTGTTCGGTTCTGGCGGGAAACAGGGACCCTAGAGGGAGGGCCCCTAGGGATTGTCTGAGAGGTGGGCCTGTCGGAAGAGCAAGAACTGTGGACTCTGGCCCTGCGAGGTCTCTAGCTTGAGGGGGAATAGTCGCGCGCTCTCAGTTTCACTCAGTTCCTCACTTCAGGCCATGTTCAGCCAGAACCCTGCTCAGGACAGTGGACTTTGGGCGCTTCTGAAGAAACAGTCATAACTTAATACTCACCACTCAATTTACAGTCAGCACTTAGAATGTAGGTACTTTCCGATGCCCCCGCGCCTTCTAGTGAGTTATCTGGTTTGGAGTTCGTGAGGATGGGCGGTCTGGGAATTGATTGAGAAGGTTTAGCTCTGGTAGCATAGTGCCTAAGGCACTTGACTGCCAACCAGAAAGCTGGTGGGTTTGAACCACCAGCCACTCCTCAGAAGGAAGGTTGGACAATCTACTTCCGTAGTGATACCGCCTCAGAAACCCAAGAGGGGTCGCTATGAGTCAGGTCTGACTCCATGGCACATAACAGCAACAGTTACCCATTTTGGTACTTCAAGTCAGGGCTTCATTCACCAAATCTAGACTTTGGGGTGAGTGACTATACACATTAAGCAAGTTATACAAAGGAGTAAGCTGCCCTTCTGTTTTATTCCTAGCGACATCTTAAAAAATTAGCCACAAAGACACCTGCAGGTCAGTCCATTCTTATTAGTTCTGTGTCCCTGATGTCTACTCTGGTAGCTCATCCTTTTGTCTTTGTTGCCTATGTTTCCACTTGGCCTCTGCCTCTCTGGGCATCGTCTCTATTGAAATAAAGAGGAAGAGGCACTTTTGAATTGCAATCATTCCCATTTTCATCCCTGGCCAAAAGAAGACAGGCATTACCTTGTTTCTCACCAATTTATTTTCCAATGTGGTGGACACTTCTCTTGAAGGCCACTGAAGTGGACACATCATGAATCCATCACCAAGTTCTTCTCTCTCTGTTTGTATTCCTTTCTCTACATTAAACCAAGGAGCTCTGGTAGCATAGTGGCTAAGGCACTTGACTGCTCACCAGATGGCTGGCGGTTCAAACCCATCAGCCACTCCTCGGAAGGAAGGTTGGGCAATCCTATTTCCGTAGTGATACTGCCTCAGAAACCCAAGGAGGGGTCGCTATGAGTCAGGGCTGACTCGACGGCACTAACAACAACAACAACAACATTAAACCAAGGAATTTCTGGCATACCAATTTCATTTACGTGGGCCCCCAATGAGCTCAAGTTTAAAAATAACCCGGTAAACAGATAGAATCACTCCTATCTGTCTGAACCAAAATCCAGAATTTCTAGTACAAATACTCTCTTTTTAAACTTTTTTATGTGATTAGAGTGGATACATGTTACAAGTCCTCTTGATAAATTCGGAGTCCTTTGAGTCTAGTCCCACACAAATTCCCCAGGTACCTTCCAGTGTAAATTAGTAGAATCTTGCAATACTTCTTGTAAGGAAGCCTTCTTCTGGATTCTATTTTGAACCTGTCCTGCCGGGATCTAATTCTAGTAATTTAAGTGTAGAGGCAGGGAAGACCAGTCAGGGCAGTATGGTTAGAGAACTGGCATGCCCTTATGATGTAAATTCTTCAGATAAAGTCAATACTGTGTCTTTAAAGTAGAGAGGAAAGAGCCCTGGTGGTGCAATAGCTAAGCGCTTAGCTGCTAACTGAAAGGTCAGTGGTTTGAACCCACCAGCGGCTCCACAGGGGAAAGATTTGGCAGTCTGTTTCCATAAAGAATTATAACTTTGGAAACTTCATGGGGGCAGTTCTATTCTGTCCTATAGGGTCACTATAAGTTGGAATCAACTCCACAGCAGTAAGTTTGGTTTTCGGTCTTAAAGTAGAGAGAACCAGCCTTAACAAATTGAAGGAGGCACTGCAAAGCAAAGCTCAATGTGGCTGGGGGTCAGGGTGTCCTAAATTTATCCAAATGTGCCTCATTTAAATTTTCAGGGTCTCACTTTTTCAACAACAACAAAAAAAAAAAAAAACTGATGCCACTGGAGAAGGGCAGAAAAACTGTAACCTTCAGGGCACAAATGAAGACCTATTGCAACTAGGGGACGGGAACATAAAATAATCTCTATCCCTGAAGGAGGAGCCAAAAACCATCCTACCATAGGTCCCCTATGCTGAAAGAGGGGCAGTCACTGAGAAGGCCTCATTCTTGAGAGCCAGAAATACAGGACCTGCCTAAGATTGAGGCTGAACTAGAACAATAAAGAATAGTCTACCTTCTCCCCCCACTACCAGGCTATCAAGTGTCCAGGACAAGTAGTATCAGTGTACTGCTTCAACTTGAGGGGGACATAGACTTCACAGAATTATCTCACCTAAACCATTAAGCAAATAAACAAATGAATAAACAAACAACAGCAATACAAGCCCCGTGGGAAGGGGGAATAAGAATCCATATCTAGAGTTGTTATATTATCTAAAAAGTCTACTTTTCAACATTATGAGACATGCAAGGAAATAACAAAGTTTGACCAAGATACAGAAGGGAAAAGCAGATAATAGAAGAACAAAGTAAGAGGACTCACATTTCCCAATTTCAAAATGTACTACAAAGCAAGAGTAATCAACACAATGTAGGCATATAGGCCAATGGAAGAGAATTGAGAGTTCATAAATAAACCTATGCATCCATGGCCAATTGATTTTCAACAAAGGTGCCAAGTTCATTTAATGAGGAAAGACTAGTCTCTCTAACAAATGGTGGTGGGACAACTGGACCTCCACATGCAAAAAAGAATGAAGCAGGACTCATATCTCACATCATATACAAAAATTAATTCAAAATGCAACAAAGACCTAAGTCTAAGAACTAAAATTATAAAACTCTTAGAAGAAAAGATAGAAAGCATCAAGTCTTTGTTTTTAACAATGGATTCTTAGCTGTGACCCCAAAAGCATGAACAACAAAAGAAAAAAATAGATAAAACTGGACTTTATGAAAATTGAAAACTTTTGTGCAACAAAAGGACATTATCAAGAAATTGAAGAGACAGCCTATGAAGTGGAAAAAACATTAGGTAACCATATATCTGTTGAGTATTTAATATCCTGAATATACAAAGAGCTACAACTCAACAACAAAAAGACAACCCAATTTTTTAAATGGGCAAAGGACTTGAATAAATAATTCTCCAAAGAAGATATTCAAATGACCCATAAGCATATGAGAAGATGTTCAATATCATTAATCATTAGGGAAACACAAACCAAAACCACGAGATACTACTTCACATCCATCCAACCAAAAAAGAAAAACCAAACCCATGGCCATTGAGTCCATTCTGATTCATAGTGATCCCGTAGGACAGGGGAGAACTGCCCCACATGGTTTCCAAGGCTATAAATATTTACAGAAGCAGACTGCCTCATCTTTCTCCCATGGAGTGGCTGATGAGTTCAAACTGCTGACCTTTTGCTTAGCGCCAAATGCTTTAACCACTGTGCCACCAGATCTCCTTTCACACACATAAGGATGGGTATTATCAGAAAAATGAAAAATAACAAGTGTTGTCAAACTGTGGAAACATTGGAACCCTCACCCATTTCAGGAAGGAATGTAAAATGATGCAGTTACTTAAAAATAGAATTACTAGAGGACCCAGCAAATCCACTCGTAGGTATACACCCAAAAGAATTAAAAGCAGGGACTGTTTTGGTTGCCTTGTGCTGTTCTAACAGGAATATACCACAAAAGGGATGGCTTTAACAAACAGGGATTTATTCTTTTACAGTTAGGAGATTAGAAGTCCAAGTCCAAGTCCAAGGTGCCAGCTTCAGGGACTGGGTGAAAGCCCTTTGACCATGGGCTTCAGCTCTGCCTCTTGCTCCTGGCCTACTGAAGCTGGAGGCTTCTCTTAACTCAGGCAGCTGCTGCCTGCTGAGGCTGAAAAACCTAAGGTGGACAAATAAAATGGCACAGTCCCAAGATGACCAAACAACATGGCAGGTCACTAGTTCAAGTCCAGAGATAGTTCCAAGATCAGCAGGAAACATGGCAGGCGCCAAATGAAGACTCAGCTACATGCAGGATCCATGTTGTTGTGTTGTTGTTATGTGCTGTCGAGTCGGATCCAACTCATAGCGACTCTTCCTTGGATTTCCGAGGCAGTATCACTACGGAAGAAGATTGCCCCATCTTCCTTCCAAGGAGTGGCTGGTGGATATGAACTGCCAGCCTTCTGGTTAGCAGTCAAATGCCTTAGTCACTGTGCTATCAGAGCTCCCATGCCTGCATGCCAAAAAGCTGATGAAACCCTTCTCAAACTTCTCCTTATGTACTGGAAGCAGACCACATCCCCAAGACAGCTACTCAGCTGCTCCAGTAGATTCCACCACGGAGTTGATTACAGATCACATCATGGGAAATAACCACACTCAGCTGTCCAGCTGCTCAAAACCTGGCCCAACCAAATTGACATAACCTTAACTACCACAAGGACTCAAACAAATCCTTGTACACCAATGTTCATAACAGAATTATTCACAGTATCCAAAAGGTAGACATACCCTAAGCTTTCATCAACAGATAAATGGATAAACAAAATGTGGTATGTGGAATATTATTCATTCATAAAGAGAAATTAAGTTTAGATGAATGTTGAAAACATTATGCTAAGTGAAATGTCATACACAAAAGTGCAAATATTATATGATCCCACTAATATAAATAACTTTCTCACCCAAACAATGGACATCTACATAATACCTACAACTAACAACATATTTAATAGTGAAAACCTGAATATTTCTTTACTAAGATCAAGTCAAGAATGTTCACTACTATTTAGCATTGTACTAAAGGTGCTAGTCAATGCAATAAATCAAGAAAAAGCAATAAAAGATATAGGATGGGAAGGAAGTAATAAGACTGTCTCTATTCACAGATAACAATCTCCACGTAG